CACTCCTGATTAGTGCTCACAGGTTGCTCCTGGTGGTGTTCAGGTAATCATGCAGGACGGAAGTTGCACTCAGACTTCTTCCATGAGAGCAGGGATATCAAACCTTTATCCTGGATATAAAACCTTTATCTCATATGTTAAATCCATTCTCATTTATTAATAATCAGTGGACATTTGTGCTATTTCCATTTCTTGATTATTGGAAATAATGCTTAGGTGAAGCTGATTGTATAAAGAGCTCATCATTGATCTCATTAATTTGTGGTATATAAGTTGAATTTCTAACAGCCACAATTTAAAATAAGCTTACCTTACTGGGGCTAGTAGAGTGGTGGATCCAGAATTGATCCCCAGCACCCCATTAATCTTACAAGCCCTGCCAGGATTGATCCCTGAGTTCATAGCAGAACTAAAACCCTGAGCATAGAAAACCTAGGTGCAAAGCGAAAATCAAACTAGCAAACAAAGAAACTTGAAAACAACCTTTAATGTGACACCTGTTTCTGAATGACGTAAAATTCAAATGTAGTTCTGTTTTTCTTATGAACATTTGGACAGCCAGACTTTGTGGACTGTCTGAAGTGTCACTGCTACTGAGAAACAAAGTGTTGGACTATTTTTAATCTTTCAAATTTAATTGTGCAAAAAAAAGTAGGATACAGTTTTTAAACAGAGACATTGTCACTGTCCTTCCATTGTTCATGGATTTGCTCAAGTGGGCCCAGTAACGTCTCCATTGTGAGACTTGTTACTGTGTTTGGCATATCGAATACGTCACGGGTATCTTACCAGGCTTTGCCGTGCAGGGGAGATACTCTCAGTAGCTTGCCGGGCTCTCCGAGAGGGACGGAGGAATTGAACCCAGGTCGGTCGGGTCAGCCTCGTGGAAGGCAAACTCTCTACTGCTGTGCTATCACTCTTTTATTTCAGTTGGTTAACATCAGTTTAATGACTTTCCTGGAGTACTGTTTTCATCTATGAAGTTGTCAGATTACTTTGTCTTCTCATTATTCCTAATGCTTTGTGGGTGCTGAGGGTGTAACTTCACATTCAACTGACCTGCACAGTGCCCCTGTATGCTGTACACTGAATCAAGCTCTATACTCTTATTCCTCTATTGCTTTCTGTCCACTGCCCTGCCATGTGAGCGTTTGGCAGGTGAGAATGGGAGTGAAGGCAGGTTGCAAATTCTTCTGGTGGGGATTGTTAGTGGAGGCTGAGTTCACAGGTGGAGGTTTCACTTCTGGTGTGGGTGGGGAAGAACCCTGTGGTTGCTTGATTTGAAGTGAGGGTGTGGCTGGCCAAACAGAAGAGGTTGAAGGTAGGGGACCTGCCAGCCCCCAGGTGGAGGGGAATCAGCATCTGGATCTGAAATGCCTCAGAACTAAGAGTTGGGAGGTAGAGCTCAACATAGATTGGGTGAACAGACATTAAGGGTATGAATATGAGTCAAAGAACAAACAAGGGAGTAGATGGTCTTTAGAGATGACAGGGGTCTGTATGGGCTGTACTGACTCTCAGAAATAGGGTCATCTTTAAGTCACCAGAATGTAATAGTAAAAGCAATGCTTGATAGAAGTTTAAGATCGAGTGAATGCCTGTGCTACTACATACTGGCAGCACTGCAAACCAATCATACTTAACCATTGTCAGGGCAGGGGACATGGCTCAGTGTGGAGGGCACTTGCCTTGCACACATCTGACAAGGGTTTGATACCAACACTCCATAATGGTACCCTGAACACAACCAGGAGTGATCCCTATGTGCAAAGTCAGGAGTAACCTGAGAGCACCACCATGTGTGCCTACCCCACCTCGAACAATTCTTACCCATTGTAATCTTGGAGTTTGTGTTGCATGTCAAAATCTTCGCGTGTGTTGGACTGATTTGTCAAAAAGCATGTTTTCACTTTAGCCACAATTGGTAAATGTTTTCTTATCATACTTGGTTTTTGTTAGAGTTGTTGAAGACCTGCTCTCCAGAGGTGAATTAAATGAACATAAATGCTTGGCAATTATTCCATCAGCCTAATGCAATTGGTGTCTCCAATGTGTTTGCTTCTTGTGTTTTGCCAGTGGGGTCAGCACCTACCTTATAAAAGACAAGAATGGTTGATCTAGACCTGATTGTACTTCAGGATTATGCATTCCAGAAAGAGAATTGGTGGGGGGGGGGAGGGTTAGGGAAAGGAATTCACAAATGAGCCTAGAACCATTTCCAGGTCCTGGAAGACTGACCAGGGCATGAGTCCGTCATGATTCTTTAATGTGAAATACATAGACACAATCTCGGGCAGAAGTGCCCAACATTCTGTGCATATTGAACTTGCCAACTTCCACCATCCAAAGAGTTATTCGTTGAATGTGCCTACATGAGTTCTGGAAAACATGAACTTTGATACTTGGCACCCATATTGCCCTCAAGTCCCACCAAAAGTGATCCCTGAGCATAGAACTAGGAATAATCCCTGAGAACTGCAGAGTGGACCCCCCAAAAACAAAGCAAAAAGCAAGTTCCATAGATTTCTGTGTGTTGTTTTTTTAGCCTACCACCATGTTGTAAAAGTTTATTGCTTATGAATCTTTTTATATAGAATTTTTGTGGGTTTTCTAAGCATAGTATCATGTCATCTGCAAATAGTGATTGACTTTTCAATCTGAAGTCCTTCATTTCTATTTCTTGGCTAATTGTTTTAATAAGGATTTATAATGCTATACTAATAGTCATGAGTGTGGCAACATTGTCTGTCTGTTTTTCACCACTATGATCTTTTTGTCACCTTTGGGGCCATACCTGTTTGTTCTCAGGGCTTATTCTTGGCTCTGCATGCAGGAATCACACCTGGCAGGCTTAAGGACCTTGTAGGGTATCTGTATCCAACCTTGCAAGGTAAGCACCACACCTACTATACTACATCTCAGTGTATGACTCTCACTCTATTGTTAAAAAACAAACTTTTATCACTATCTTATTTAGAGTTTTTATTACCAATGGGTCTTTGTCCTTTTAAATCTTTTCTCTATTGCATCTTTTTTTTTATTTTCAAATGTCTCTATCTGCTTTGGATATCAGAGTACAGTTTTTCTCATAGAAACTAGGAGAATTCTTATTTCTTTGACTTTCAGGAAAAGCCTGAGAAAAACATTGGAAGTAGATCTTCTATAAAGACTTGGAAGAACTTGTTATCAACTCAACTTGACTTGGGATATTTTTCTTTGGTGATGTAGAAAATTTTGATTACCTTTTCAGTTTCACTGCTGTAATTGGTCAAGTACTCATTTTTAAAAAAATAATTTTACAATGCAATCTGTTTTATCCAATGGAAAAATATATAATTTGGTTTCTAAAATGTAAAATATAAAAATTAATGTAACTTTACATTGACTATTCAAGAAACTGGAAACAATTTTGAATTTTAAAAGTATGTTATTATTGGATTTAACAGTGGTATCAACCATATTTGCTGATTTTGAACATTTTTGGTGAGAATGGTGTTTTTAATTGTTAGCAAATATTTTATATGTACAATTCATGAAAAATAAACAAATATTTGATTCTATTTGAACTAACTTATTAAGTGAAGTAAAGTAAAAAAGTAAAGTAAAGGCCCTCCCGTTGATCGTCGATTTGCTCGAGCGGGCCCAGTAACGTCTCCATTGGAGACTTTGTTGTTACTGTGTCTGGCATATCGAATACTCTCGGTAGCTTGCCGGGCTCTCCGAGAGGGGCGGAGGAATCGAACTCGGGTCAGCCATAGTTGGCTGCGTGCAAGGCGAACGCCCTACCCGCTGTGCTATCGAAGTAATGATTAAATATTCCTTCACACTTGGCAACTGTTGAGCTAGCAGTGTAGAGGGCTTGTTGTCATAAGAGAGGGAAAAGTTATAACTGAACATTCCTTCTGTAATATACGAAGCACAGACTCCTCTCTTTCCTATCCTTTAATTGACAAGAGGAAGGAACCAAGGATAAGCTGTTCAATCTGATCTTCATAGCTAGAGATAATCTCTCCAGGATAAGAAAAATATAATTTTAAGCTTCAAATCTTTCAAACAGTAATGCCTGATTCTGTAGAACTGGCGGTTATTTTTATATGGATATGGAACTTGTCCCTTTTTATGTAACTGGGGAGGGGTGTCTTCTTGTATTCTTGCTAAAAGGATTGTCCTTTGTGTTCATCACCTGTCTGCATAAATAGACACCTAAACTTCAGGAACGAGGAAACAGCACTCAGCTTGCTCTGATGCTGCCTCCAGGGTTTCAAAGCCTCAGGTTTCTTATAATAGTCCTTTAAGTAGTTCAAAGAAAGACTTAAATTTAGTGGTAGCATTGTAGCACTGTCCTCCCGTTGTTCATCGATTTCCTTGATTGGGCCCGGTAACATTGTGAGACTTGTAGGTGTGTTTGAATATGTCCCAGGTAGTTTGCCAGGCTTTGCCGAGTGGGCGAGAAACTAAGTAGCTTGCCAGGCTCTCTCTGAGACGGGCAGAGGAATTGAACACGGGTTGGCCGCATGCAAGGCAAACGCTCTACCCGCTGTGCTATCTCTCCAGCCCAAATCTAGTAGTAGAAACCAGAAATCCTGTCTAACTGAAAGTGCTGAGAAGATAGATCTCTTTTAACTTTTATTCTAAAGAATGGAAGGTAGAGATCTTCATCAGAAATCTTCATACCAGGAATATGTCTTTATGGGATCAGACCATGAGTGAATTTATTGATTACCACGTCACCCCCTGTCTGTAACTATTCTTATAAAATATATGTGCCAGGTTTCATTTTCCTTGAGAAGCTCCTTGAGACCATACAAACCACATGTTTTGGTGGGGTGGGAAATGCATAGATGCATCTTTTCAAGTTTGTCTTTATTCCATCAACACTTATCAGTTGAATATTGATTATCATGCAGTGAACATCCAAAATTATTAGAGGAATCATTTGATAATAATTTTCAAAATCTCTACCTATTTTGATTCCTTTATTTTTCAAACTTGCAAAACCGTGGAAGACCATGAAAGCAGTCGCCCACCACTATGAATTATGCAGTCAATTATCCCTGGTTTGAGAAAATCGCAGGGGTTAGAATAGCTGGAGTATAATGGGTAAGTCTTGCCCCAGGAAACCACCTTCGTGATCATAGTATGTCCCCTGCCAAGTAACTATTCTACGAAATATTTTCTTAAAGTACTTCAGAGTAGTGGCTCATTTCAATCAACAATACAGATATTCGTATATGACTAGGACAAATGTCGCACTGAGTGACAGAGAATGAACAGGGCCCCGTTAGCTGGCAGGTTAAGTGACTCCTAGACCACATATCTCTCAGTTTGACATATAGTCCTTGAGAAATACTAAGGAATACTTTCAGTTCTTAAGGATTTCTGTTCTTAATACTTTCAGTTCTTATGGATATCTAGCTTTTTCTAAATTGGATTAAGATTTTTCCTCAGTTGAGAGAGACTGGGAAAATACGATTTTACTTCCTTTTAAAGAGATTGAAAATCAGGAGGACTTATAGGAAGAGATCATGTATTTTTCCTTAGAATTTGTATGAATTTTCAAAAGTGGGGAGGCCCATATCAACCTTGAACTTAGGGAGCTTAAGGAGAAGGACAAAGAATTAAAGAAATAAAGAAGAATGATGATGAGAAAGGTAAGTACTGGGGGAAGTTGGGTCGGGGCATTCATTACACCAGTGACATGGGGGAGTGGTATAGCCATAATACTGAAAACATGAGATGTGAGCTAAAACCACTGAACTTTGTAGTGTGCCAGTCAAGGTGGCAGGCAGGAATGAGGGGGCAGATGGACTATGAGAACACTGGTGGTGGAATGGGGGTTGAAATAGTTCATGACTAAAACTCAACTACCAATAGCTCTGTAAATCACGGTTCTTTAACAAAAGTCAAGTATTTAATTATAAATGATACACTTACTATTTCATATTAGTTATTATTGGTATTTGTTAATAATAAATCATAAAATCTATACTATGTTTTCAGTGAGAGAAATGTATGAATCAGGTCTCAAACTTTGTATTGGCCTGAAAGTAAGACACATTCATTCTTCACACTAACAAGAGTCTGGAATAAGCCCCCGGAGATATTAGAGTTCCCCAAACTGCCATTACATTTCAGTTTAGTGAGACAAACAAAAGAGTCTCGAAACTGAGCACTCACTGCAGAGATGCCTCCTGACTTTGCAACAGGCTGCTTTCATGGGGCTACTCCAGACGGGAGCAGGTACTGAACCTCCACCTGCCCCCTAGGAATCCCAGCAGCTGCCATCTTCCAGAAACTAATGAAAAGGTAAGGTAAAGGCCCTCCCGTTGATCGTCGATTTGCTCGAGCGGGCCCAGTAACGTCTCCATTGGAGACTTTGTTGTTACTGTGTCTGGCATATCGAATACTCTCGGTAGCTTGCCGGGCTCTCCGAGAGGGGCGGAGGAATCGAACTCAGGTCGGCCGTGTTGGCCGCTTGTAAGGCGAACGCCCTACCCGCTGTGCTATCGCTCCAGCCCAATGCCTAGTCTTATGGGATAGTGAAGGAGCTGGTCCCTCTCACCTCCTCGCCCCGATGGGACCCTGAGATGATGCCTGCAAGCTTCATGTGACTACTATTAAAGCTCCTTAATAGCCATGATCCAGAGACACACAAAAGAATCTTGGAACAGAGCAGCTCACTGCAGTGATCTCTTCCGACCCTAATTATTAAAATACTAATCTTTCCCCCCTCTTTTTATTGATTCACTGTGAGGTACAGCAGCAAAGCTTTCGTGTTTGAGCTTCAATCATGTAATCATGAAGCACTCATCCCTTCACCAGTGCATGTTTTCCACCACCAAAGTCCCCAGTATTCCACCCAACTGCATTCCACAACTCCCCGTGCTTATGTGGCAGACAATTTGCACAATACTCTCTACTTTGGTTATCTTCAATGTTTCGAGACCAGTCCCACCACCACTCATACCTGCTGAAAAGGCAATGCCAGACAATTTGTTTTGTATTGCTTGTTATGGATAAAATATAATGTTGCGTGACTGCAAGAGCAGTCGCACGCTCTAGGAATTCTAAAATTTTAATAGTTAGGGTCTGGGGAGATTGCTGCAGCAAGTTGCTCGGGTCGGAGATTTGTGTTTATGTCTCTTGATCATGGCCATGTGGGAGCTTAAGTAGACAGTGGCCGGATGTGGCATTATCTCAGAGTCCCATTGGGGCAGACTCCTCCCATGTCAAGTGAGGCCTGGTGTTTGCTGCCAACGCCAACCCGTATCTGGAACTTTTGCTGAGTTCTAGAAGATGGCGGCCACCGTGATTCCTAGGGGGCAGGTGGAGTTCCAGCACCTACCCATCTCTGGAGGGACCCAGTGAAAGTGGACTATTGCAAAGTCCAGAGCCATCTCTGCAGCAAGTTGCTCAGATTGGAGATTTGTGTCTGTGTCCCTAATTATTAAAATTTTAGAATTACAGGAGTGTGCAGTGGCTCTCGACATCATATGGTATTCATAGCAAGTAATACAAAATAAATTATCTAGAATTGCCTTTAAAGAAGGTTTTAGTGGTGTCAGGAAAATTCCAAATAATTATGGTGGGACTGGTGTCAAAATATTGAATGTAATCAAAGTACAAAGAGTATTGTGGAAATTGTCTGCCACACAGGTGGGGGAATGATTGAAATGGACAGTGTGGGATGCTGGGGATTTGGGTGGTGGAATATGTGCACTGGTGAAGGGCTGGGTATTTGAACACTGTATGACTGAAACTCAAACATGAGAGCTTCATAACTGTATCTTATGGAGATTCAATTAAAAAATTAGTTTAGCCAGGGGCATAGACAAGAGAGTATTAACAGTGGTATCACTTCCCAAACTGCTTTAGACAACACTGAAATAAACTAAAACACAAGAGGATTCATAGATATTTACACAAGAAGAAATAGGTACTCATTCAGCTGCTCAGATCAACAACTCTTTAATTCCGTACTCTACCCCTAGTTTTGCATCACTAAAAGACAAATTTTAACTGAAACAAAACATTGTTAAGGTTGCAATAAGAAGGGGTGTGTGATAATACCCCTCAAGTATTCCAGTATGTGTATATACTTAATTCACTCATATTCACAAACTGCTCTGTCAATAGAACTGTGTGCAAATGTCCACAGTAGGAATTTCTGACATTATCAGACAAAGGTACACAGTTTACAAAGGCAGAAATAAATGTGCGATGGCAGGGATATAGTAAATTAGACTAAATCTCATTCACTGTTTATTGGAATATCATCTAATTTGGCCTCTCTAGAACGAAGTATGGAGATGTTTCAAATAAAGGAAGAATAGAACTTCCATGCTAGCCTGTGATTCCACTTCTTGGTATCTAACAACAACAACAACAACAACAAAACAACCAAAAAATTATTCAGACTTATGCATCCGAATGTGCAACACAGATGGATGAAGAAATCCTGGTGTGTACCTAGTGAAATACTATAGAAATATAAGAAATGATAAACTCATTCCATCTGCAGCAACACGGATGAAATTTGAGTGTGTCATGTTAGAACAACATAATTCAGAGCTTGGACAAATAAATGATGATCTCACTCCTCTGGGAAATACTTGATCACTTGATCACTTGATACCCCGTTATTCATCGATTTACTCGAGTGGCTGCGAAACGTCTCCATTCATCCCTGTTGCGTGCTAGCGTAGCCCAATGGCATCTGTTTTTTTTAGGAACATGCAGAGTCTCAAACCAACTATTCTGGGTCTTGATGAAGAAGTCTGACCATCTTGTAGGTAGGTGTCCACGCGATCTTTTTTTTTTTTTTTTCTTTTTTATTAGTGAAACAACATGAGGTACAGTTGTAGATTTACAAATTTTGTGCTTGGATCTCGGTCATACCACGATCAAATACCCATCCCTCCACCAGTGCCCATTTTCCACCACCAGGATAATATCCCTCCCCCCCACCCTCCCATCCCCCCATCCCCCCCTGCCACTGTGGCAGGGCATTCCCTCCTGTTCTCTCTCTCCTCCTGGGCGCTGTGATCAGCCAAAGAGGCATAATAAACCCCCACGAATAGCTAAAGCAATTCTTGGGAAAAAGAAAATGGGAGGAATCAACCTCCCGAACTTCAAACTTTACTACAAAGCGGTAATAATCAAAACAGCATGGTACTGGAACAAAGGCAGAACTGCAGACCAATGGAACAGAGTTGAATACACTGACATCACCCCCCAATCATATGATCATCTAATCTTTGATAAAGGTGCAAGAAATGTGAAGTGGAGTAAGGAAAGCCTCTTTAACAAATTGTGCTGGCATCACTGGACGGCTACATGCAAAAAAATGGGCTCAGAATTCTGCCTAACACCATGTACAAAGGTAAGATCAAAATGGATTAAAGACCTCAACATCAGACCAGAAACCATAAGATACATTGAAGACAAAGTTGGCAAAACCCTCCATGACATTGAGGCTAATGGTATGTTCAAAGATGACACGCCACTGGCTGAGCAAGTGAAAACAGAGATAGATAAATGGGACTATCTTAAACTAAGAAGCTTCTGTACCTCCAAAGAAACAGTGACCAAAATACAAAGACAGCCTACAGAATGGGAAAGAATATTCACGCGATCTTTTGACGTCCCATGGAATCCAGTCAGTAATGGCTCTAGTCCAGCAGTTGTCTGTAAACCTCATTACGTGTCCAGCCCATCTGATTTTTGATGCCTTCGCAAATGAGCCAGCGTCCCTGATTTTTGAGCGTTGATGGAGATCGGAAGTCCGATCTCTTTAAAAAAAATGGATGTCTGGGAAATACAGACACAGAAAACAAGTGAACAGATAGTATTGACAACAACAGACCATTGGTCTTGTACTTCAATCGAAAGATAAACAAACTGGGGGTAGGAATGAGTGAATGTGACATGGGGACACCGTGGGAGGGTACACAAGTGGCGTTGGGGTGCAATACTTTTGTATATAGCCATAAGCTCTCATAGTATTGTACTAACCCGAAATATAGTGATAAAATTTAAAGTCATTAAGGAAAGATCACTTGTGTTTTTCTCCTTTAAAAAATATGTTGTGAACCCTCTGGAAAGAAAGATGGCAGCCGTTTGGGAGCCTTGTTGTAAGCCAGGTATGAGCCGGTGGTTATG